TGTGTGTGTGTGTGTGTGTGTGTGTGTGTGTGTGTGTGTGCGTGTGCGTGTGCGTGTGCGTGTGCGTGTGCGTGTGCATGTGCGCGTGCGTGGGAGTGTGCGTGGGCGTGTGCGTGTGCGTGGGCGTGTGCGTGTGCGTGTGTGTGCGTGTGACGGAGGACGTGTACGTGAACAGGTCTACACACGCAGATGATGAATCACGTCTAGCTGCAATATGATAATATCATGATGATACACGCGCGCCCGCACCTCACGTATACATAGTAGTAGCCAGTCTATCAATATTGATTGACTCCTGATATGGTAGCCAGTCTGACAGATGCAGGAACAGCAAAGGTTTAAATTATGCCAATTGTTATATTATGTTGACGCGTATATAAATAATTCAATGAATAAGTAGATAAATGAATAAAAATTAATAATTAGGTAATTATACACACATACATACAGACACACATATATAGCGCTGATAAGCTATAGTTATATACATTATAGGCATAGATACAGTTTTAACCGCACAGTGTTGACAATACAATAGAACACACAATGAAACACACAATGGAAAACAATGAAATACAGGTTCAAACACGTAACAGAAAACACAATGTCATGCACAATGCAACACAGAATTAAACACAATAATATAATTAATGAAACAGACAATGGAACGCACAATAGAACACCTAATAGAACACGCGTTGAAACCCACCACATTGCCAGTGATGAAACAAGTAATGAATGAAGTAGGCAATATAGAATAGCTGACGTTGATATACGACTGTTTGGCGTGTATTCAGGCAGGAACTGCCCTGGGCGACATAGTCGACTATAACATTCATTCACGCGCACGCGCACACACTAACTCAGACGTACAGGAGCACAAAGCGCATGCGCATTCCAGCACACACACCTGTGCGCGATGAACGGGAATGCGAGGAGACAGCTAATTATGTTACCCGACCATCCCTTATGAAGATGTCTGTCTCTCCCCATCCCTCTCTCTCTCTCTCTCTGTGTCTGTCTCCCTCGCTCTCTCGCCCTCTCTCTTGCGTGCACTGTTTTTGACCTTTCTCCCTCTCCCCTCTCCCTCGCTCTCTCCCTGGATCTCTCTCTCGCTCTCTCTCGCTCCCCCTCTCTCTTCTCACTTATAGCAACTTCACACATACAGGATGAGCAAGCAAGCACCCCCGGCTAGCTAGCTAGCATCACGTCTACATCCGTGTAACATTTTACACATGCTTGAGGTTAAGATGCCCCTCCTTACCACTCCAACTACACCGCCTACCGTTACACAGGGTCCTCTAGTCACACATATAAATAGTCTCTCTGCTAACTTTACTAATGTGTCTTAACGAACTTGGCAAGTTTTTTTGAATAAAAAATTACCTCCCGGCCTCCTTTATCTTAGTTGTTCTCTTCCCTAACTTAACATGCTATATAGGCAAGTATATAAAAGGAATATTGAGCTAATAATTACTAATCAAACATCATTTACGCATTACAATTAATTGTTGAGATTTTGAATTATGGAATTAGTCCATGATGCCATTACTAGAAAAACACAACACAAGTTTATAACACAAATTATTCAAATTATATATAACATGAAAATAAAAGTGCATTTCATTCCGGTGCATTTTATCGTGGTTTGTTACTCGTTGAAGAAAAACAAGAGGCAGTTAACTTGCGCGCGTATATACGATAACGACCGACCGGCTGCCGGCGGGCTTACTGAATTTGATAAATAGCCATTGATTCAGTGAGCGAGCGCGCGCGCGTGTGGGATATAGAATCAAACGTTTACGAGTAAATTGCATGGAATGTAAATCAGGGAACACACACAAACACGCACGCACACACGCACGCACGCACGCACGCACGCACGCACGCACACACACACACACACACACACACACACACACACACACACACACACACACA